TCATCTAACTTCCAATCACGATGCAAACGAAAATTACTCTGATAAGTAGCTAAATGAAGCATCATACGTTGCAGTAAGCCAATTTTTGAATAATACGTAAATCAAACCGCTGTAATCGTGCGAATTAATGTTTTAAAAAGTCGTACCATACTTGTATGATTTTGTACATTTCTAAATCGGTAGTGGAAGCCGACCCGGTGGTACTCAGGGCCGGCTGCGGCAACATTCCTCTTCTTTATGACGCCATTCACCCCCCCAAAGCCCCCACCCGCTATTTTTAGGTGCGGGTCATCCCTTAAATTCTTTTTATTGCCGCCCTTGTAAATCATTGCGTAATGCTCCAGTGCATTATCCGACGGGAAACTTCATTATGGTCGGTTTAATGATACGAAGGAGCGATAAAATCTTGCTGCTGGCTGGACGGACGACTGTAGTAAAAGCGATAAGGTGACATCGGTTTGCGAAGAATCTGGGATATTCAATAAAAAATAAACAGAAATAGTTTTTTACTTGTGGTTATAGCAACATGATCACGTCATTAGATGATTTAAGGCTTCTTTGTTTATTGAGTCACACTCACTCACAATTAGTGACAAGTTAAAAGGAATGCGATACTCTAAAAGAGGTAGTGGTGTAGTCCAAGAGAATATTTAAAAGTATATAGTTACTTATAATCTCTGTTGTAATGTTTACTTTCTGCAAAATTTGCCGAGCGGTTCTTATATAATGACAAAAGCTGTCATAAGTAGGGATTGTCATTGTATAACAAAAGTATTTTAAAATTGTATATATATCTTTTTATTATGGATGCTAATTGATTGGGCTACGTTTTTAACAAAGTACAAAGGTACCAAATCGTTCGCACACATTAAGGTTTTTTTTCGCGTTTATCAGCAAAAAATTTTCGGAATGTCTTTCTTTCCTAAGACGCTATGGAGTGTGCAGTAATGGCCGGAGATACATCACACGCAATTTGTAGCGATAGCGCAGCGATAGGTGGCGCTGAGCTCGCGAGCGAATTGTTCTTTATTGCTCTATAAAATGAAGGTCTGCTGCTGTCTGTCTTCTTTTCGTAGTCCCTCAAGTTTCGATACATTCTTGCTTCTTCTTGATAACTACTATGTTAACTCAATGTTCAATAACACTTAGTTGTATCGAGCTATCAAATTGTTGGATACTATTAAGGTCTTTGATTAGACCAAGAATGTTATTTAGTTTTTAAGCATATGTAGGTTAAGATTAAGGTAACTATGTCAAACATAGAAATATGGAATTTAATTTACAATTCCAGTTACTGTATTATAAATTTAACAAGGCTAGAGGATCCTCGAGATCTTATCAGTGTGGAATTAAAAAAAATAGTCAAAGTTTCTGCCCACATAAGGTGCCTTTCAGTGGAAGTGTCGTCAAAATTGGTCCAGCTGTTACGGAGATGACACGGGATAAATGCGGGCTTGCGGACATTACACACAGATACTCCAATGTTATTAATTGTATAGTTATAATACATAGAAGGTAGAGTACTTAGAATTGTGAATTGTGTGACATCTGTGATGTTTGTCATTTGATGCGGAAAAGTAAAATATATTTTAAGTTAGAACAAATATAAATTAATCTTATATTATGTTATGTTTCCTTTTTAAAAGTAATGACGTAGATATATGGTAATTATTTACCGGTGAATTGCATTTCAATAACAAAGCCGCTAAAATGTAATATGTCTTTTGTTGCGGGAAGCTGTGTATCAATTTCACGAACCAGTGGGATTATGTTGACCCCCGCTGAGGTTAGGGCACATTGTGCTCCCTACTCAAACCCCCGTCAGAGATATACTACGACAACTAGATGTGTCTACTTACATTTTAACTATCGTACTACATATTCTTTTAACTATATATATTTCTTAAACTTTTAAAAATGTCTAGTGATTCTTAATAAACATTAATAACTCTGATTTAATTCCATCTTCCACAATCTATTATATATAGAGATAGTAATCATGACTAAACTATATGACTGTTTCGTTTTTAAATAACATATAAAATCTTGTATGTGAACTAAAATAATTTTAATATATTTTTATATTGATGGATTTATATTTGTAATTATTGTCGTATCCATAAAATTAAAACGTTAGTCTATGACAGCAGAGAACCCCCGTAAAGTTGAATCCCGCGGGAGGCGAGCACTCGCCCGCCATATTATTATCAAATGTAAAACTCCATAATGAGGTAATGATACAGCAACTTGTGCTGAGAGATCTTTGTGATCGCACAGCTTTCAGTTATAATGAAATATCGCCGCTGGATTTGCTCTCCCTTTGATTGATCGCATTAATCCCTCTCCTCTTCAAAAATAACGTATGGATGACTTTCACATGTTCCTTGTTACGAGTATTTATACAATATCATCATCATATTTGATGTCTAAAGTGTGATCTCAAATATATTTTAAGTTTTTAGTGTTGCTAGATGTAAATGTGTGAAATGGCATGTATTGGACAAACTTATAATAAAAAAAAACTATAGCCCATAGGTAATATTACTTCTCACTAGTATTATAAATTCGATTGTTTAGATGGATGGATGGATGAATGTCTTTTAGTAAGTATCTCTATATTCAAAACAGCTTCTGGATCTCGCTGAAATTTGGCATAGCTTTTCGCGTTCAAATTTAAGAATAGGCAATGCAATACAAACTGTAAAACAGTGCAGGCCTCTTGATAAGCAACGAAAAATGCTACAGTATTCAATTGCGCTGGTATCGTTTAAATACAATTTTTTAACTTACCATGTTGTTTGTATCCAATCTCAATAATTCACAATGCACTATATGAGGTAAGGTTGCGTGATGTGGCAACATTAATCAGTTGCCAAATCAATGGGCCATTGTGTGGCGTGCTGCAGTTGTTGCTATAGCTCATGCGGGGACGTCCCGCGCACAGACCACCAGCAGAGCACGTGATTAATGCTGGCCACCTAGCGGACACGTCCAATACTTAAACATATTGAAACAGACAGCCGACAATACAAAATCAATCACTAATTTTGATGATCACTAAAAGAGCACCCGTAAGTAATAATACGAAATATTATATATAATATTACAATATATTCTAAATTATTTACTTTTAAATTTCTCGTACGAAATGTACACTAAAACGAACGCATAATTAGTCTGAGAGTGTGGAAAAAGAAAAAGTAATTCAAAAGTACACGTTTACAGTGAAACAGAATGACGTAAAAAATTCCTTATCTAAGCAGAACAATAGAGGTAAGGTTTTTGTTTTTTAAAAAATAAACGATACTCAATGTTTCCATAATCATAAGTTATGTTACAGTCCTCGTACAATTACAGGTAAGTAATAGTTTATCTTATTTAACGTTATGGAAATACTGACTTTAAGTTCCTGTGAAGTGAGACAAGTATGTCAAACGGAGGTCTATGGTGTCCG